TAGTATAGTCCAAACTTACTGTTATTACTGTAATCACGCTATATGAAAAATAATGTATAAAAGCAGCAATACTTTCCTTTCAAATAAAGACAACGCTTGGAGTTCAAAAACCTTCGAAATAAGAGTAGAAGTATTTCTCTACTAATTTCCCAATAAGTAAAAACCTAAATATAATAGAAATTAGTAACCAAATCCCATAACCCATATACAGAGATCTGTGATATAATCTAGAGCTCTAATTGATTCTAGTTACTCAGAGTCTTTCCATGCCTTAATCATAGCCTTACCACTATTAGGGTTTAATTAAAGTATTAAGTTGGTATTAGTATAGTGTTGTAGCGTATTTGTATATTACAAGGTTTTACAATTTTACAACGTATGTACATATATACATATCATATGTTAAAATATAAAATATTATTTGTTAATAATCATTTTACATGACATATATATACTATATTTTTATTGATTATTCTATAAATGCAATCCTCTCTAAATGTATAGCTTGAAACCGGTCCCAAAGGTATGCATTTATAGAGGGTTGACTGTACCTATAGCACGTTGGTATTCTGTGCCAGGTTATACAAATCATATACAATTACTATTATATATGTGACCTCTGATATTATGATAACCAATAAAATTGATCAACAATACTGTACTATAATATATATAATTAATATAATAGAATACATATCGAATATATAATTAATATATATTGAGTAATTTAAAGTTTATTATATTTGACAGATCTGTGATATAAGATTGTATAATAAAAAAAAATAATAAATAAGAGGTTTGATTGGCATATAATAAAACTTCTACTTGGATTTTTCAGTAAATTTTATCTAATGTTGACAAATATTGTTTTTGTTGGGTGTAGTAGACATCGATTACAGAAGGTGATGAGATGTTAAAAAAAAAAAATAACAATCAAAGTAAAAACAAAAGAACGAATAATAATATTGAGCGAATTTTTTAGTATGATATTTAACCTCATATCAATTAATAGGATAACAATATTCACTAAAGAAAGCTTTTTTTTATATACTATAAAAAAAAAAAACAAGCATATATACGTATTAGAACCTTTAACATCGTGATATAAAACCCTAAGTAATAACAATTTATAATTTTGTTTTACTGAATAATAAATTAAGTATGTGCGAAGACACTAGTGAAGATATTGGCAAAACTACATGTGAATATGAAGGACCTGGAAATCTGATTTTCAAATATGAAGATTTTAGTGAACCGATTGTTGAATGCAAAGATATTAGCAAACCAATTATCAAATACAAAGATATTAGCGAACTGATTATTGAATATGAAAGTACTGGCGAACCAATTACCAAATGTAAAAGTACTAGCGAACCGATTGTCAAATGTGAAAATATTAAAGAACCAATTTTTGAATACAAAAGTACAGGCGAAATACTGTTTGAATATGAATGTACTTTTGATGCAACTTTCATGTGTGAAGGTACAGATAAAGTGATTTATAAAGATATTGCCGATACAAGTTTTAAATCTAAAAGTACCGGCAAGACAAC